CAACGCTACCTCCTTCCCCAACATCTGGCTGGCCATCCCTGACCAGGCCGGAGCTGCTGAGGTGTTGCAGGACTACCAGGTGAGCTGCCTGGGGGCTGCCTGCAGGTCTGCCTGCACCACACTGTGCCACGCTCACCGCCGCTCTCCTGCAGATGCTGATGGAGCTCGCCTGCTACCAGCACCTCCGCCTCCTCATCTGCAGCCTCTTCGTGCCCAAGTGCACCCCAGACGGGGGGGTCCTGCAGCCCTGTCGCACCGTGTGCCTGGCTGCCGAGCTGCGGTGCCAGCACTCGCTCAGCCTCCTTGGCATCCTCTGGCCCATCAACTGCAACATCCTGCCCGACTCCAATGACCCTGTAGAGTGCTTCCAGCCCTGACCCAGCAAGAGAAGAGGAGCAGGAGCTGAAGCAGCCTACCCAGAGCTGCTCCCTGACCCCAAATGTCCCCCTCATCCTCCTGCTGTTGCAAATACTCAGCTGCTGGGGTGGCCCCCATCAGCAGCACCCCATTGCCTAGCTTGCCTAGCTTGTCACCTGCCCTGGGGTCAGCCCTTCTGCTCAGTGCTCAGCTCAGTGCCCAGATGCCATGGGCTTGCCCACAGGACCAAGTCCTTAGAGAGCAGGTGCCCCTTCCTAGCCTTGCTAGAAGGAAAGGCTTGTGCTAGAGGGGCTGTGCCCACAGGTTGGAGCCGTGCTGGGGACACCATGCAAAGTCCCCCTGCCAAGCAGCAGGCCAGTGGCAAGAGGGTTTGGTGCTGCCTTCCCATTCTCAGCCAACCCCAGGCGTGTTGGCCAGAGCTGTGCATTGTTCCCAGCCCACTTCTCTCTTTCAATCTCTCCAGGCAGCCTCTTTCCCACAGCCCTCAGGCAGCTGCTAGGCCAGCAGGGGAAGGGTTAATGCTCCCCAAATGGAGCCAGGCTGCAAGCACATGAGCCCAGGGCTGCCCATGTCCCACAGCCCCAAAGCCAGCAAAATAAACAGCATAAGCAGATGACAAACCCGATGGAGCAGGTGGCTCATTTGGTGAGGGTCTGTGTGTGAGTCCTGCCAGATCCCAGGGGAAACTGAGGTACAGGGCACGGCAGGGAAGCCAGAGCTGGCGTGGGGGATCTGAGCAGCAATGGAGGGGCACAGGAGAGACTGCCTGGCTGCAGGAGAGAATGGGCTGCTGGCTGTGCCCTCGATGGGCTGGGGGGATTGCAGGGTGCCGGGGAGATGGATGGGTTTCAGAGGGGGTCAGGCTGGCAGCCCCATGGTGCAAGGAAGGGATCCTGCCCCAGTAAGGGCTGTGGCCCGCTGGCGTGGGGGATCTGAGCAGCAATGGAGGGGCACAGGAGAGACTGCCTGGCTGCAGGAGAGAATGGGCTGCTGGCTGTGCCCTCGATGGGCTGGGGGGATTGCAGGGTGCCGGGGAGATGGATGGGTTTCAGAGGGGGTCAGGCTGGCAGCCCCATGGTGCAAGGAAGGGATCCTGCCCCAGTAAGGGCTGTGGCCCTGCTGGCTGAGCTGGCTGTGTTGGCTTCAGGCCACACAGGCCTGGCAACACCCCGTGGCCACAAACCAGCTCCCAGCTGGCCAAAAACAACAGCCCCATTCGCACCTTGGGAGAGGGAAGCCCAGCGGCTCCCTGCCAGCACCCAGCCTGGCCCCAGGCATCAGGGGATGTCACCCACACTGCTGCGGGCACCAGCACAGGGAGGACAAAGCCAGCAGCGCCGGCACGCTTCCTGCTGCCCTCACCCACCCTGAGCACGTGGGAAAGTCCTTTGCAGTGGGGTTTACTGGGAGCAGGACCCACTCTGGTCAGCACCACTCTGCCCTTGCAGCCAGGACTGCACCGCTGCTCCCTCACAGCCAGCTCAGCTCAGGGGGCTTGAACCCACCCA